AAAATTAATCAAAACTGAATTCTAAAAGCACTAAAAAGGATAATGTTTCTTATCATTATCTAAAAGATGTGACATATCTTGCTCTAATTAATATAAATTCTTAATTACATATATATTGTAATCCTATACTGCTATAATTTGTAACTGCACAGCCTTAATTCATGAATTATCACATCCAATAGTTTGAAGTTTTGTCATCTTAATGCCACTTTTAAGCAAATAAAAAAAATCTGATGTGTACACCACGACTTCCTAGCATGGAATATAAAATTATATGCATTTTTTCCTACATTTCATTTAAACTTTGTTGACAGTGCATAAACCACAATAGAATAAATGCACTCTTTAAAATCCACTATATTTATTTACTGTAGCGACATTCTGACGCTGGGTTCACTTAACAGCATTACATACAATTCATTTTATAACTCAGAATGCATAAAAATTATACCATCTGAAGAATTATCTAATCATTGCCACATGTTCTATTCAAATACTATAATTAATCTAAAACCATGTATAAAAGAGAAAAAAAAGAGTGCTGCTTACCTAATGCGCATGCACTACTCATGAACAATCTTCTCTGTCCGAACCACACTGGCAAAAATATTTGCTGCTAATACGAAACACTTATTTCCTCAAATTTCATAAAAATATATTTGACTCAAAGCTCATTAAAAATAAAAGATGGAAAAAACATATCACGAAGACGTTAAAACAATTTAAGAAGAGGAAAGAAAATTTGAAGATTTTATATTACACCCAAAAGGGCTTTAATATTTTGTGCATTACCTTTGTTAAACATCATGCTCTTTGCACTTAAAACACATAAAATTCAACTCAACAGTTATACCACAAAATACTTTAAAAACAGCAAAAGAGCCTAGCTGGAGATAATTTCTCCTCCCCGTACAGTGTAGCCAACGCTCGCTTTCAAATAATTGAGTTTGTTAATCAAAAACTCGTAAAAGTTTACAAAATTTGAAACATATAATAAAACAAATTCAAAATTCAGGCTTCGAAGTGCCCATGTTTGGTTGCAAGACTGCATTATCAAATTCATATGTAGTTTTTCACAATACGAGAAACATTCATGCAGATTCTTCATCATTTAGTTTCTTTAAATATAATACATGGCAATAATATTTAGTGACAACAGTTTGAAAAGCAAAATCGATGCAAAATGCCGTTTTGAAATTAATATCCCTTCGGGGCTAACGCCCTTTGTTCTAAAAAAAAAAAAAAAAAACAATTTTTACAATTATGAATTTCTGAGCAAAAACAAAGCAATTTGTCCAACAGGCAAGAATGCAGATTTTTCAGTGCACAGAACTAAATGTTTCCTTTGAGTCCCACTCAGCAAAAAGACTGAATTTACTATTTTGCTGTTTCAAATGTAAATAAATATGGCTGCTATAGTAAGAAAAATAGGCTTAGTCGCACAAGTAGTGCATGCAGATTAAATTAAAAGCATAAAAACCTTAGCCGGAAGACAAGAACATAATGCAATTATTTTTAAAGCAAAAAATCTGCAATTGACCAGCATATGAGAATAAAAAAAACTGAGCTCATGCAGCCAAGTAACAGACTGGGTATACATATTTATATACTTTTGGTCTGGCTGATTGTAACAAAAAGGGAGGTGTATAACTACATGTTATAGCAGTCCTATATGCAAATTATCAACGTTCTGAAGCTACCTGTTTTGAGTTATGCAAGATACATACGTACAGACACCACAAAAAAATCTCTTTTAATCCATTTTAAATCAGTTTTATAATTCGTTAGGGGGAAAAGAGACCTACATTCCTTCCTTACATACGTCACGCAAAAACATCATTAAATTGCATTCAATAGCGGTCAAAATGGATATTTTTGTTGAAATATGATAACGGAATTTTTCCAGATTACATCTTACTTCGTTCAAGATACGTATGAGTAAATAAAAAGGAAGAGTAAACTATGCAGAGCCTGCTTCTTTGAAGCTTATTAAAAATTACAAATTTTTGCTGCACTTCATTTAAACTTATTCAGTTAACCAATGCCTCGCAACAAATGAAAATGACATTAAAAATTGCAAATTTTGAAATTAAATATCCCGGTCAATTTTTTCATATGCGAGTCAAACTTCTTATTTGTTCATAATGAGTATAAAGCCTTCCCATATATACATTTAGGAATGAGAGTATCATATTAAAAGTTAGATTTCATTATTTGCCAAAAACTAATTTATTTTTAATTTGGCATTGCCAAAATGAATATTTTTATCGCTTAATACATTTCTGTTATTGGACATATATGAATACAATCAATGACTGAAAAAAAAAAAAGAGAGAATAAAGTGTGTGTATATGTATAGTATATATAATTATAAACACAAAATTGATAATTTATCTCCCTCTCTCTCTTTCTCTCTCTCTCTCTATATATATACATACAAGTTTGGTCCTGCCAATTGCAATTAAAAAAAAAAAAGAGTTACATAAACAGATGATACAGCAGGCTAATACACAAAATTTCAACATTCTGTGGCTAATCCTTTTTGAGTTGCGAGATACACTCATACCTACAGATGTCACAAAAAAATCCCTTTTATAATCCATTTTGGGGGGGGAGGGAGTCTTATTCTACATGAAGTACATACGGATATCATGCAAAAAAAATCGTTCGAATGGATCTGTAAATGGTAAGAATGGACATTTCTGTTGTAATATGATATCCGAAATTCTTTCACGATTGCAGTGCTTCATACAAGGAAGCAAAAAAATAGCTCACACCTGAGAAACTATGACCTTTCCCCCGTTACCTATAGTCATTACTTAAACAATTTTTTAAAAATTTATCAGGCATTCATATTATAAAAAGTAATAAATTAATGTCTATAAATATGCTAAAAGAGCTTTTCAAAATTATTGCAAAATCTAATCTAGTATTATTGCCTCAAGTGAAATTCATTTTTTACACATTTCATAATTTTCTGTGAAGGTGCATATATTTATAAAATAACACCTTAGCTTCCGTCTAAGTTTAAAAAAAAAAAAAAAAAAAAAGATGGTCATATAGTACAGTTTTTAAAGTACCTTTCAAGAAGAAGCCAAAAATAAATAAATAAATAAAAATTAACTTCATTTGTGGAACTTTTCAATTTTTTATATTAAGTAGTTTTCTTTATCTCCAACATATTCAGATATGTGTAAGTTTTTGCTGTAAAATTCCCTTTGCACATTTTTGTGAAAATTTCCCTAAAATCTAATTTTTACTTTCAAGAAACGGTAGACATGCTTATGCAGCATTAAGAGCATTACCTGTGCAGCATCCTTTTTTGTAAGTTATTCAAAATATTGATTAAAGTCAACATTTTTAAGTCACTAATTTATTATTCATATGATTTTATAGTTAAATAGTAAAACTCAATAGTAAAACGGTAATGCAACAATACCTAAACAATAAAGTATCTAAAGTATTAACTTTAAAGAAAATAAAGAGAAAGTACTTACAAAGGCAGCTCATGTACATTTGAATTATCATACTTCGATGCTAAAAACTGTGAACTAGATGTGCCTTTATGAAAATCATCTTTTATTATAATTTCACTCAATTTTTCTTCACCCTTTCTAACGTCTGCATTTTCATGACTTTCAGTTTTCTCAACATGTTCTTCCTAAAAGTAAGATGTGACTTCAATGCATGATAAAAATTATAACATAAGAAACCACAATACATTTCAAAAAGCAATTAAGATAAATGAGCTTGTTTAAGAAAATGTTCCTGCATAAAAGTTTTAAGCTGCTACAGTCCTAACAATTTGCTATGTAATCATTACATAAATTTAAAATAATTATAGTTATTAAAAATAGTTTACAAATACTAGTGGTCTTCAAAAAATAGAAATAAGTAAAGTATCTTACTGTAAGAGAACGATTTTGAGGAGAGGTAAAATCCATGGTTTCATGCTCCAAGATGGGCTGTAGTTCACTGCATAAGTCTTTATTTTTGGACACTGCTCCTGGAAATGAGCCAGATCTCACGAGCAATCTTTTGATGTTGCGATATCGATCATACAGTGGCCTGATGGTATTGCGATCATCTTTAGCAGCTGGCTTCCCATGAATACTTTCAAAATGTAACAATGCTTTTTGTATTGCAAGTTTTTCATCTTTAACTTGATCTGTGGTCATGGCCTAAAATCAGAGAGATAGTTAGAGAGAGATAAAATCAGGAATATTTTTTGCAAGCAAAATTATCTTCCTGGAACAGTAAAACAATTTTAGAACATAAAAATAACATATTTATAGAAAATAACTTTTTACAAATTTACCTACTTTTTCCAGAAATATAAAACCAAAATTTTCCTACACAATTCTTTAAATTATTTGACAACTTATTTACACTTAAGTGAAGCAAACCGAACACTAATACTAAATTTTTCAAGTTTTAAACTTCTACAACTTGACTATTTCATATGTTTCATATAATTAAGTTTTAGTCAGAAACAGAAGAAAAAAAAATAATTCAAAGTTTTACAAAAAAGTTAAAAAATAATGGTAAAAGCTTTACTTTGTTAAAAAAAAAATACTAGGTAATATTAGTTCAGCAAAGATTAAATGCAATGATACAGCTTATATGCACAATCCTACAGCCTGATTATAGCCTATCACAGAGAACATCAAAAATCAGATAATTAAATACCAAGGGAACCCCCTTATACAATAACACATACTGAACCAACCTAAAATGTAGATAGTTCCAGATTATATCAGGAGATCAAGCAGTGTCTTTATAACATACATATACATAGAAATTTCTCAGGTCAGAAGAGGTGGACAAAAGTGAATTTTCTATGCTACAGTGGACCCTGAGCAATATTATGAACTTTAACAACTGTAGCAATGTTCCTGCTGGAACTTCTAACTTTTCCTCAATTAGTTTTCTTTCAATCAAATAAACAGATAACTTCCATTTTCATTACTAATTTCAGTCTAGTGATTAAATGTATCACTACAGGATACATTTATACAGAGATTTATTTTCTCTCGCAATTCTTTTATAGATGACCCTTCTTACTTATAAAAATACGTTGCAGATTTTTTTATTATCTTGGTTAATAAACTAGAGGTTTACATTGTAATATATGTTTAATCATTTCTCTGGGTTTCCTTCTGTTGCCTATGACACCTTGAAAGGCAATGATAAAGCTTAATATAAGGAATTATCAGATTATAAAACTGAAATATTTAGTTACTATTAAAAGTACTCCCCACTGCAAATCCATACATTAATGGCAACAGTTTCAAAACATGACAGATCATGGACCACAGAATAATGGCTTCAAATACAACATGTAGAGGCAAGTTAAATAAATAATCATTGTGTTTGCACAGTTTTGCAATATCACAAAATTATTCAGGAGGTAAATAGTTAAAACTCATATACACAGGTACTTTTTTTAATCCCAATTCCTGAATACTACACTACATAATACATGAGAATATGCCTTTATTAAAACTTTTTTACATACTTGTTGCTTAGAATAAAACCTTAGGTTTCTCATTTAATATTAGATTATGTACTAAGCAGTACATACAAAAAATATATATATAAAAGTATTCACACATGGAATCCTGTAAGTTCTGTCATTATAAAACACAAAGATTCCAAAAACTTACATTAATCAGAAATGTGTTAATACATTGACAATCTTTTAAGACAATAATGGCTCAATGTTTAGTCACACTTTTTTTCAAACTGTAACTGTGAAGAAAAGTTTATCATAAAACACTCATAAGAATTAAACATGCGGTATTTAAAAATAAAATTTATCATACCATATAATTAGTTATATATACGTATATCCAAAATGTACCGCCTTTCTAGCACATATAAATAACAAGCAAAGTCCTACTTTGCATACAAAAATTTCCATTATCAATTATTTTAACCCATTTAACGCCCAGCGCTCCATTAACAATCTGTATAAAATATATTATCCTAGTTATGTTTATATATTATCCCAAACTTTTTACATAGATTTTTAAATCTATTTTTATTTTTAATTCACTGGATACAAACAAAAAAAAAGGGGGGGAATCAAATAGTAAGAAAGGGAGCGCCAGCCTCAATCTGGAAGTTCCCATACTAGAAGTACCCTCTGAAAAATCTACTGGATTATCAATACAAACTTCCATTAACTTAATATTTTCCAACAGTTGAATTCCTCTCCATGATTTAATAACATTCCTTTTATTCAAAAAATTAAACAATTATTCTTCACATTTCAAAAAGCATGCTCTCCATTTTTTCTTAAGATTTAAAAAAAAAAAAAAAAAAAAATCTCCCTTCCCTGAAGCTTTACAATGTTTAAAAGCAGGCTCGTGCCAACAATAGGTGCACGCAGAGTCAAAAAGACGTCGGGCAATCATTAAAACAAGCAGTTCATTTCACTGCCTGCTTGAACAGGAAAATTCTTTTCGTATTTAGGTATCTAGGTTACTCGGGTAAAACCTGGGAAGCTACTGATTAGGATCTGTGTCTCGGCCATGGGTGTTTAAAATCAGTCTCCACAGGACTGGAGTCGTTTCTGGCAATGGCTACTTTCAGGCTCGGCACAGACCATATGGTACTATCATATCTTGCTCGTGCTGTTGGCTGTGGTGGAGCTATGTAATCTGATATTCATGGTTGTCCGGGATGAAACACCCCCATTGATGGAATTGGCGAATTCAGCAAATCTTTAAACTCCTTGAGGTTTCCAGTGGGTGCATGGAGCTCCAAAACTGCGTATTCGTATTGTTCTTTGGTTTCCCCCTGGGGGGGGCGCCTAAAGCCGACATTTGTATACCATGACGTAGTGTTAGCAGGCCGGATTGGTGGCCCATTTTATCTTACATTGTTTAAGTGACTTCTGCTGTTCAGGTTTGGGGCCCCTGTCGATAGCAGATATTTTTACCATACCTTCAAATAGGGACGTGGAATGCAAGTTGCTGAGTATTCCTGTTGACTCAGCTTAGTCTAAGCTCGTCGGCTCAACCAATAGGTTAGCGCTTCTAGGATCTAGCGCTTCTTGGGGTTGGGGCATTTGGTTACAGCCAAAAACATTGCGGCAAAAACGTCACTGAGAAAATAATGCAAGGCGAAAATGCTGTGGTGCAAAACATTGTGGTCGAAAATAAAATGGAATAAACGGAAACAAAACAATATATAATTTTCACTGAAAGAATATCAAATTAACAAAATGTGAAAGAAAATAATTTGATAAGTAATTAAAAAGTAATTAAAGAGTTTTTATAGAGGTTATCTCATACAGTTACAGATATTTCTCTTTCTATAAACTTTTTTGGAATATATTTTTCATGAAAAATTATCAGTAAAACTAAAAAAAAAAGATTAATTTATATATAACCTTTATTAGTTAACTATATAAGCTTAAAACTTCTATTAAATGCTATACGTTGCATTAATTTTCTACTCATTTTCAGTTTTAAATGCTCAGGTTTCCTTCTCACTTTTTCAACAAAAATGTATTAGTTAATTCAAATTATGAATTATAAAAATAAATATAATCCTCTTTTCTTCTTGTACTCACAATTCATTACGCAAATATGCATTTACAACTTTTTTTAAAGACTGAAAAATGTATGTATGCGATGTTAATGTCATGCAATGATTTGTACTCATGTCTTGAACTCATTTCTTCAATACTCATGTCTGTATTTTCTAAATTAAGATACCTAATACAAATTGATATCTGCTCTTGATAGCAGGCATCAGGGGTACAATCGTGTAAAATTGAAAAATGCTTTGCCTATTTGACCTTATTTAGAACAACTTGCTTTATAATATTCCCTAACGAGCTGTTTTATTTTGAATTTTATCTCCAAAGTAATGAAGCATATTTTTTTAGTTTTAATTTTATTAATATATACAGACATGATACGATGATGCCAGATTTTGATATGATACGATGATCATTGATCATTTTTATACACTGTAAAAAATTGTTTCTTTACAATAATTTGTTACTAGAAGCTTTGTTTTTTACCACAATATTTTTGACGACTGTGTTTTTAAACTGTGAAGTTTTTTAACCGCTTTATTTTCAACCACGATATTTTGGATCTGTGATGTTTTCTCCTCGACGTTTTCATCCGCAATGTTTTTGGCGGGCACCGGGCATTTAACTGTGTTAAGGCAGCCTCGAGCTTGCTAGGTCTGAGTGCCTCTTCCTCCTAGCACACTCTCTTATTTGACTGAAAGTTATAACTAAGGCAGGAGTTTGTCTCTGGTGTTCTCTTCTGTCTTATTTGAACGCGAAAATACTTGATGCCGATGTGTATGTAAGGGTAGACGCATTTGACAAATTGCTTAATCATTATTCTGTGACTACTGTTCGATCATAGTAATTTGTGCAACATTTATCTTTTTTTGAGATTACTTGTTGTTATTGTTTTTCTACATAAAAAAGGGTAAGTGCTGTTACATATTATGTTAAATTTAGGTTAATTTTTTAAAGTCCGAAAAGCAACGATTTGAGCATAACTACTCAAAAACTGTTTACCTCTCATGTTTAAACCACTGTTGTATTCTTGGCCACGTAAATTACTGATATCTAAACCATTTTCCTATAAAGTCTTTAATATGAATGTTGTTTGTCCTCCACAGGTCATATCTGTTGCAATACAAAATACTAAAAACCTTTCTTCAATACTCATGTCTGTATTTTCTAAATTAAAATACCTCATACAAATTGATATCTGCTCTTGATGGCTGGCATCAGGAGTACAATCATGTAAAATTGAAAAATGCTTTGCCTATTAGACCTTATTTAGAACAATTTGCTTTATATCATTCCCTAACGAGCTGTTTTATTTTGAATTTTATCTCCAAAGTAATGAAGCATATTATTTTAGTTTGAATTTTATTAATATATACAAACATGATACGAAGATCCCAGATTTTGATATGATACGAATGATCATTGATCATTTTTATACACTGTAAAAAATTGTTTCTTTACAATAATTTGTTACTAGAACCACAGAGGGCTAAGTTTTGTTTGGCTAAAAACTGAATGGTATAGATAATTAATTCTTTCAATAATATCGCGCCAATGCTTAGTCTCTTTATTTAATAAAATTTGAAATTCCGAATTGACATCCGAATTAATCGTTCTAAGAAATCGAATTAATCTCTTTAGTTGTTTGGCAAAGTTCGAGAAAAGTACATCTTAAAAAAATTACGTCCATTTTTGCCTTTTAGGAACCTGAAACTAGAAACCAAGTTTTGGTTTTTTCTTCCGGCCGGCTGTATTGAAGTTAAAGGTTATTCCCGGGTGAAAACACTTTCTAACTCTTTCTAATTATTAGGTTCTTTTGGTAATTTCAATGGTAGCTGAGATGTTGATGCACAACTAGTGCTAGTAGCATCAGCTTGGGTATTCCTCGGGTTTAGGCAAAATTGAGTAATTTTAAAGTTCTGGTTTATTTAGTCTTCCTCTCACTTTCTTTTCTTCATTACGTTCTTTTACTTAGACAGTATTTTCTGTTTTTCTTCTGACATCTGGGGAAAAATAAAAACAGAAAAAGAGGAAATAAAAATAAAAGTATAAAATAAACTACTATAAAGTAATTTCGAGTAATTAGGCTCAAATCGTCGCTTTTCTGAATTAAAAAGCTAACCTAAATTTAGCATAATATGTAACTGCACTTACATTTTTCTATATAGACTAACAATAACAACAAACAATCACAAAAAAAAAAAAAAAAAAAAAAAAAAAAAAAAAAAAAAAAAAAAGATAAATAGTGCACAAATTAATATGGTTGCAACATTAGACACAAAATAAGTATTAAGCAATAAGCTGACCTACAGTCAGCCCACGCCCACATAATTCCTCGTGGCAAGGAGAGCAAGATACACGTGCCGCCGGCAACAGCCGTGAGCATGATTTACAGATAACGGTGCAATTTAGCTCAGTTTTGCCCCCAATTTTGATGGAGAGTGCTCTGGAAGGGCAGGTCCGAGCGTCTCCCACCCCTTTCTCCCCTACCACCGACCTTTTGAAAGCACTTTTGCCTAGCATAGATAGAGTGTCCCCATTTTTATAACCAAATGGAAACTATATATTTACGGATACCATGTCTTCTCCAGGATTTGAACCCGGGCCTTTCGGCACGGCAGTCAGCAACGCTAACCACTATACAGGTTGAGCGGTGTTTTATAACATAAATGTATGTACGTATAAATATGTTTGAGTGCGGGTTTTAACAAAGCAAAATGTTTGTATATTTAGAAAAAAGATAAAATACATTTTTTTAAAGTTTTTCATATTATTAAGTTAATAATGCTTCATTTTAAATATTAACCATAAGCAATGTTTCGTTAATATCATCACTAGATAATGGTGTTCGTTAGACATTTGCACGACGCCGCCGATCAGGCTTGGCGCGGCCTGTTTATGAGAAAATATTTACAGTCTTAATTGACACTAATAAGTTAATCTACTCTTTAGTTATACAGTGCTGGTCCAGAAATGATGTTATCTAATCATTCTGCAAAGATGCTAACACAATTACAGGATTATATTGATCAGACAAATTTCACATCAGATTACCTCTACGTTCTCTGGCCTGTTTGCAGTTTTTCTGTCATCAGCCAAAGACTTCATTGTGACACCAAATGAATCTTCTACTGAGGGTTTTGCTCCTTTACTGGTGGCTTTCTGAAAGTGGTTTGTTGTATCACCTAAAATGTGAGAACTTCTGGTTGCATGCCAACTGGATGCCGAACTCACATGTTCAAGATGAGATTCTTCTTTTAAAGCTTCAAAAATATTAAAAAAATAATAAATAAGTTTCTTGTATGAATCAAAAACTGTAATGAAATAAATACAAGTTCTGTCGTCACAAAAACAATGCTAAATAACTAATCAAAGTAAATCATTCTAGCACACATTTATGTTAATGATGATCTTACAAGATAATTCCAAGCTTATGCCAGAATTTTATTTTGTATTCACCATAACAATGTACATCAACCGAAGATGCTAACTTCTAAAATGCAATTTATATTAACTACTGATCAATAAACAAATTCGTTTCGCCTTAGAACCATTCGGGTGCGATAAAAGGGACTTCCTGATTTTCCTGCACATCGTTCATGCAGTTTATTTTTCAACACCAATGTGCTGATTTTCCCCACTTTTTTTACTTCGAAGTATTTCTAATAAATGTCTGTTCAAGATCAGCTTTTCGTTTAGGCTCTGTGCTGCTAAGAAAAGGAAGGATAGTGAAACCTACTTGTGATATTGGACTCTGCTTATCTTCAAGTTTCAGAATATTTTGAATAATAATGAACGATATAAGCTCGATTTTGAAAAGAAATCAGAATGTAAGTATTTAAAAAATGCATGTCCCTCCCTAACATTTATTTTCTGAAATTAATACATGCAATACTTGAAATACTTTGCTGATTTGAATACATGTAATGAAATTGAATACCAAATTCTTTGTAAAAAATATGCTTATTTTTGGTCAGAATATTGCAGAAAAATGAAACTTTTAAGTGGTTATAGAACATTTCGCACATACCAATTTTTATGAAACACACACAAAAACACCACTCCCTGACCTTAAGACCATTTATTCCTTAATATACATTCCTTGAAACTTGATTTGTAAGTCACAGCTATATAAAATATATTATCTCAAACTTTCTACTTCGATTTCTTTAAAAAAATAAAAAAAGGTATTTTTATTTTTTATTTGCTGGATACAAACTAAAAAATTAATTAAATTGGAAGAAACATGCCAATGTAAAACTTAGCAAAAACAGCAGCCTTTATTTTAGTATAGACAAAGATCCCTCTTCTTCAGGAGGAAAAAGTTCTCTTATTTAAAAATCTATGCCAAAATGAGGTTGCTGTTTTGCTAATTTAAAAACTTAATAACCATCATCATTGGATTAAATGCTGACAGCAGAAGAAAAATCTTAACTGTGTGACAACTACAAACCAACAACAGACAAAATTCGTTAACCCCTTCGAGCCGGGTAGCGAAAACGCGCGGTTATCGCGGAGGCCGGCAGTGTCTTCCGTGAGCGTCTCTCCAGGGCCGGGGGTTTTTTGCACAAGCTAACTCCCTGAACTTCGAGTCTCAGCGCATTTTATATGCTTATGATATTTAAACGGTTTAGCTTTTAGATTTTTATATATAGATACTTTAATACCTTATTTCTTGTTTAAATGCTATTTTACACATTTCATAACACCATTTTAGACTTTTAACATATATCTGAAAACTAATTATTACTAAAATTCTCTTTTGTATGAAAAATTTTAAAATGGGGATCTACACACAGTCCTACGTTACATCCTTTAACTCGTATAAATCATTGCCGTTTGGAGGATTTTTCGGAATGTGACATACGAGCGCGTCGTCTCTTTTCTTATCAGTCTCTTCTGACAAATTTGGAAATGTCTTCATTAATCTTTCGAATCAATATCAGAATATCAGAATTCAGAATCATTCTGAAATTTTTGCATCATTTCTCTATTTCATCTTGTTAAACATTTCGGCGCTTCGACCTTGAAACGGTAAAACAGAACGAATTCAATCTAACAAGATCTAATATTTTCTAAAAGAACTGTGAACGGAAATACCAACGCTTTAGCGATATAAAACTTCTACTTACAATAACAACTCCAGTGCGATTTAAAGAGGCGTCATAAATCATGCATTCGGAACATAGTTCCCCGTTGTTTATATAATCAAACACCGTATGGAATCATGCCTTCGCTCATTTCAAGTAGAGGTCTAATGCACATGTATCTGAAACCATATGATAACATGCCTCTGAGGCAGAATTAGAGTTGAAAACGTTCCAAGGTATGGCACAAATACGACAGTCGTAGAGAAGCCCCATGCTCGGCCCCTGCGTGCCGGTAGATAAGTGTGCTCGTTGCTGGCACGTATACGTGACAGTCGGCGCGAAGGGGTTAAAGCCAAATGAAGCAAATAAAATGCTATCTTTCATTGAAGAGCTTTTCAAGTTTAGTAAGTAAAATTTTGTTTAAACCTGAATGAAGTGCCAGGTCTTCCACCTCCAAAACTGAAAAGTACAAGTCTGATGGAATATAAGAATGCACTTTCACAAGTTGATTTAACCACCTGGTTAATAATTCCTTTTACTTTTGTTCTCATCTCCTTTAATATATGTAAAACAAGGACAGAGATTTAAAACAACAATAAAAACAAAAAAACTTGCTCCAAGACACATCCTACTCTTGCAGAATTCATCAGTTTTAAATTCTACATACCTGCTCATGGTGACAACTGTTACGTACATGTACACACAAACATCCCCCTCCAATTTTTTCCCCTTTTAACTTTGGAAACTATTTAATTAATAAAGTTACTTACCATCAAATTTCAGATCTTTCATTACGGTAATAGTTAATTGCTTTGTTCAATAAAGAATAAATTTTAAGCAAGCAAAATGTGAATTTTCAGACAGCATATTAAGTGAAAAATTTTAAAGTAAAAAAAAAGAGCAAGGGGGGGGGGAACAATTACATCATTTAAGCAACCAGTTATAAGTAACAGACTAGCAATTTGACAGCACAGTTAGTTATCAGCCACAACCTAAAAACCTATGTCCATGACCAGCAGATAAACAAATTTATGCCCTCCCCCAATGATCAATTTCAATGATTTTATTGAATTTCATTGAAGTGGGAAAAACAGAGACACAAAGGAAGTATAGAATAGTAGCTTTTGAGTAGACTATGAGTTAATGACATCACATGTTCAAAGATTTCTAGACAGGAACAGCAAATCTTGAATCTTACAATAATCTTGAAAATATTCTTGTACAGTCCAATAAATATATAAAATGTATCAAATAAAATGATTCTGAATAAAAATATTTTAAGTTACTGCATTAGTAAAAATTAGCATGCACTGCATTATGTTCAATAAAAGCTTATTTCTTCTAATTGATAAATATGAATAAATTATATTGTACTTAAAATTGGTTAAAAATCTAGTTATAAATTTGAAAACAAAAGTTACAAAAGTTCAAGGATCTTGGACCAAATACACCATTCGAAATAAATTTTTAAAGTTACAAAAACCTTAGCCAAATATTAGACAAACAAATTGGTTGCTAAGCAATGCATTGTTAAGGGAGTATAATTTTCAGCTGTATTACATACAATGGTACATACAACTTTTTACATATATTAATAACATAGTATTTATGAAAATATTTCTCATGCCATTTTTTGTAAATAAATTATTCTTTTAATTATTACCAAGAATGATAATTTATTATTAAACAATCTGCAATAAAAGTATGTCATGCCATAACAAAAGAATTACCTAATTAAACTTGTTTCTAATAACAAAATGAATTATACTGTAAAATTAAAGAAATTTTACTATAAGAAACACATTCAAATTTTCCAGTAAATCAACATATAACATGCAGAAATTTCTTTACCTTTTAATTCTTTTCTAGCTTTATATAAATCATTCATTAACTTCTTTGCTTCTGAATTATTAGCTTTTTCTGCATGAGAAGGCTGGGAGTAAAAAAATAAAAATTAATATTTCATGCTAATATGTTATCTAAACTTTGAATTAAAAATAAAAACAAATTCTTTAATTTCTTAATATTATTGAAATTATTACCTTATATCCAAATTCAGCTTCAAATTTTTCATCAAATTTTCTGATTCGTTTTTTAATACCTAGTTGAGAAGGCAATATTGCGAGTTTAAGTTACTTCTAATAATTTATTCCACAGGGATATGTATATTTAAACATTTTCTTATAGTTTAAAATGAGGAGAAATATATTACATACTGTGAATTTTCTTTGTAAGTTGCTTGATGGAATCAGACACAGCACTGCTTTCAATCAAACTGAAAACAAAAACATTTTGTTAAATATTAAACTGTTAATATACTGTTAAGACAATATTTTCAGATTAAAAGATTCATTCCCATGCTACTTATAAGATATAACAAAAATTCGACTGCCATTTAAAATAATGGCAGTGGAATTATTGGTACTTTCCGCTATATGGGCACAACAAAAACAAACAAAAAAGACATTTTTTATTATAACAGATTTAATAAAAATTTGCATAGGGGCCATGAATAAGGAGATATGTTACAACTTTATGTAATTTTCGACACATAAACTCTAATAAGCGTAATTATGCCATTTTGCACTGCCTCACATTCTTTCAACTGCTTGTGTACAACATCCAGTTTTGTATAATTGTGGTTAATTGCAACATGATCATATTCTGCTACTTTCAAATTCTCTGTTTTATATTCTTTTCAGAAATAATTTTTTTTTTTTTTTTTTCAATCGTGACAAGAGAAGTTTTAGTTGAGTGATCCAGAATGGCTACAAGAAAACATTCGTTAGTTTCTCTACATAGGTGTCCAAAAGGCTTTGGCCAATCTCTACCATTCCGTCACTTCTACCAATTTAAACTTCAGCCCTATATAATAAGGCATGGGACAAACCTCCCACCAGTAACTGTTCTAGTTAATGATTGTACTGAATCATTTTGAATTGCATATTACAAAATTCAAATGAGGTGAGTTCATGATACCAAGATTAGATAAATTTTACAACTGAAAGAAATTTAAGTATGATCATTCAAGCTAATAGTAAGATCTAGTTATTTTTCTCCACAAGATATATGATTGCAATGTCATTTTGGTGTATTGTAATCAGTAAAACATTTATTTTTACAAAATCTTCACCTATAAGAATTCTGTTATCCTGTAGAATTTCACTGCAATCTTCTGATCTTGAGATAACTCCCAAATTACAAAATCCACTTTTTTCTCTATTAAGAAAAGTGCTTTTAAATCAAAAAATGCACACAAAACATTCAAATAAATATGAAATGATTTGTGGCAAGGGTTGGTTTCAGAGCCAATGAGGCAGAATTTTTAGAGACACACCGAGCAACAAAACTAGAAATGGCAAAACTTTTAGAATTTAGGACAGGGACTGGGAACAGAATTTAGGAGAGCATTAAGCAGCATAATTAGGAAGGCAGTGGCAGAATTTAGGATCCACAGAGAATGCATCAGGTAGGAAAATGCCCAGCGCCAGCCATGTGTATAATGCATTGAAACATATAAGGTGAATCTTTTAAATTGTCAGTTTTCAATTTCCTTATTAATAGAAAATTTCTTTTTTATAAATGCCTGTCTATGTGAAAGATGAAAATATTTTTTCTATTTTCATTGTTGTGTCTAGGAAAGTTGAGAAAATAAAAAATTCTTTTTTTTAAAATGCCTGTCAGATGAAAAGATTAGAAATATTTTTTGATATTTCAGCTTGTGTCTAGTAAAAGTTGAGAAAATAAATAAATAACAGTTAGAAAAGACTTCTAGCATTCCGAATAAACATTCAGCATGGTATTTTCACTGTTCATCCAAAAATTCTCACAAGTAAGAAATTATCATAAAATTTCTGTAAAATCATGGAGGTGGTTAATAAAATGAAATATTTTTGATTTTGTCACATTTTTCTTGCAGCTGTAGAATGTGGGCTGTAAATCTTGCCTTCAACTCTTCAACTTTCAAGTTGCAATTCAAATCCTAAGAAAATTAGCCCTACCATCTTAACAGGAAAAAGGCAGAAAATATTTAAAAAAAAAAAAAAAAAAAAAAAAAAGGAAAAAGTGGAAAATTAGTTTTAGGAGAAAACTTTCATATCTGATAATTTTGAATATTGAAATAATTGCATGGGAAAACTCTTACCATGAAAAAATTTAAAAGAAAATTTTTTTAGTTATTTACATAGCTTTTTGTTCCTATTAACTGTTCTGTAAACTGTTTTTATAGATTTTATACCTGTTATTTTTCATATTCAAAATACGTATATAGTCACCAAACAAAAGTAAGTCTCTTCATAATATGACAGCAAAAAAAATATATAAATGTTTTTTATGTAATTCTAAATATAATTTCATACTATTTAAAAAATGGAAATTCCCGATTCTCAGTTAAAAATTTCTATAGAAACTATATTAAAAGATGGAATGATAATCACCAATTTCGAGCTGTTTTCTAAAAAGAATCACCCACAAAGCAGAAAGTGTTTAAGAGCTTCATTAAAAAAATGAAATAATTTTGAATGCTTATGTTCACGCTTGTAAGGCCATATGCCCACCTCTCTCTATATTAGAACGAACAAATTAAACCATGCCAGATTCAAAATTAATCAATGTGTCATGAATCACCAAAATATTCTTCCAAATGATAATTCCCTCAAAATCGCACTTGTAAAAAAAACAAAAAAAAAAGGCAAATTTCAGCTGAATAAAATTAAGGACCTTCTCATGATTTTAGCCGAAATTAAAAACTTTTAAGGACCAAACAATTGATTTAAAAAAATTAAGGACTTTTAAGGATCGTACGAAACCTGAAATCTATGTAGCATAAATGAAAATTTTTCAAGCGTCACTGCATCATTAGTTACTTTCAGCTATTTTATGCAAGAATGCATCATGAAATAGCAAGTCTAGTTTTCTTCATTAATATAAATTACTTTTAAGCAAGTTAATGCATTCTTTTAATCAAATAGGCATATTTCATCAAAATAGGCATTTAATTTTATTTACTTAACAAATTACATTTACAACAGAGCAAATTTTAAAAAACTGAATATAAATAGGGGGGAAAGGCATGAAGTTAACGAAAAAATTATCTACGTACTTCTTAACAAAATCCTCTTGCTCAACAGGAGGTGATGGAGGTACACTGGGATCCAAATGAGTACTAAAAGAACATTTTTCATAAAGTTAGAATATTGTTAAAAATAAAATATTTATATATAGCACATACATACTGCATTTTGATTTGCTTATTTAATGAAGTCAACATTTTAGATTTAAAGTATACAAAAATCCCATGCAAATATTGGCTCCTCATGAATTTTTCATCTCTTTCTCATGCACATACATAAGCACATGATGGTGTGGTGTATTTAATTATGGCAAAGCACACTAGGGCTATCTCTAGGGAAGGGATGCCTTCGTGAGGACTTCTAAGGAACTGGATCGTAGCAGATACATGGTCAACCATAAAATGCCATGCCAGCCATTTGCGGGATTCGAACCTCGACAGAACTACCAGTGTTCAGCGACTTACCGGTCGGCCGCGGGGGCTACATAAGCACAGATGAGAGACTAATTTTAACTTTTAATTTTTGAAAATTTGAATGAAGATGAATTGCACTATGAAATACATGGGGACCTTTTGTTTGTTTACAAAAAATATTTAATATTTTAAGAAATAATTACTGCCCTATAAACGTTTTTTTTTTTGGGGGGGGGGGGGGCACAAATGTTTTAAATTATAAACATTATATGATGTTTTTTAGCTCATTTCAAACCCAGTTATTAAATTTTTCCCTCTCATGATTTGAGTAACTAGCAAAAATACCTCAGAATAAAATTCTATCTAAACAATTTCCTTCGATTTTAATCTTTGATACATTCCTTTGTCGAGTTCAAAGAAAATCCATTAACATTTTAGGATTATATTTTCTTTTATAATGTGGGAGCTTTCACCATGTTTGTCACTTAGAAATTTCTAAGTTCTCAGGAAAAAAACCAATACTGAAGTTCAGAAAATGAATTTTGGCCTATATCTTTACTTTATTCAAGAAAGCCTGTAGGACTTCAATACCTTAAATTCAATTTTATACATCATAACTTTAAAATGTACAATCAACATTAGGTCTTTGATTTTAAAAAACAATTTTTACCTTAATTTTTGCCACAATAATTCTGGAAAGAATGAATTAACTTGTTTAAATCTATAAAAGCATATTTATTAAAGGTGTAAGATTTCTTTCACAACAGGACACATTTACATTCTCGTAAGAATGGATACTGAAGTTCAAAAATCTAAAATGCTAAAGTAAATTCTAAGAAAATGGAGTTTAGAATTATAAAAGCAATTTTTTTGCATTCCCCCTTTTTTTTTTTTTAAGATTCTTTCAATTTTGTAATTATATAAAAGAAAATTCTAATTTAACTCTTTAACAAGCAAAATAAATTTCAAATGACTTACCTTCTGTATGATAAGTAGCTTCTATATGCACTTGGTGATAATGGAGCTTCATAGAAACTAAAAATGAATAATATTAAAAAAAAAAGCCCTGTACTGCAGATATTAACAATTTAAAAAGTATAAGACTGTTAAAAAAACTCAAAATTTATAAGCTTCGAATTTAAATTTACAGAAATGTTTCACACTTCCAGGCATTCTCAACATACTTTGATTTGCGAAGGCTTTGTACAGAGGGAGAGAGTAAAGCATCATCATCCTGAGCATCCTTCATCATAGGCCAGCTTGAATGATGCTCGGAACGGACAGGCTCTACAAAATTAAAATATGTAACTTTTATTTGTATACATAACAGCTTTCCTACTGGATATAAAATATTATAACATGATACTAATGGAATTTCAAGCATGAATAATTCCACAAAAAAATTTTTTAAGAGCTAGTATTTGTGATAAAAAAGATAACTGTTTACAATGTGCATTGAGAATAGCTAAGACAATCTACGAACAGATGTCAATGTATACAAAAGCTGCTTAATCTGCTTTTTTGAATACATCTGTAATAGTTAACTTTTAATAAATACATACCAAACATAAGCTAAAAATATATCTAATTCTATTTATACATGGAAACTTCTGTTCATCTATGGCAATTCCTTCACAATTTTAATTTAACATGTTTGAGCGGGAAAAATGGGAATTCTTATTTTACAATAATTATTTAGATCTACCATAATTCAAAGACAGCCCTTTTAAAAAAATCACTGCATGAAATTAAATCTGGGGGGGAGGAGATACTTCATTATTCAAGATCCCAAACTTTCCATCTGTTGCAAAGTAGCCTTACGATCACATTTTTAAATGCTTTGCACTCTAAAAATATACTAGATAAAAAATTTGTACACTAATTTCAAAAATAGAAACTACACTAATACAATCATTTACTATAAAACAAACAGCAATTTAAATATATACGTCTACACACAAAGCTAAAAAAGTCTTCTATACAATGAAAATCATTTAATTGTGTTTACTTAATACAATGTGTCTACTATTATCACATCCTTGAATTGGTGAAATGCTTTCATTGCAAAGAGACAGTTTGATTTCACTTATGCATATTGTAATTATTTTTATAAATTTACTAAAAAAAAAGTGACTGAATTACACTCAGATACATATCAAGTTTAATACGATTTATTTTAAAACAATTTACTGCATTAAATTTCCAAATGATCTGAATTTTCATTTATGCAGAGTACTTTTTTTAATACAGTTTCTTTCTGCATTTTTGGAAGATAAACAAAACAGAATAAAAATGCAAACAGATACAAAAACAGAACTTGATGTATTGTTCTAAAGACTTCCTTTACTTTTGCTTAAATTAGTTTAAAATTAATCCTAATTAAGTCTTCATTAAAGTTAGTTTTAAAAATCTATATTTTGTGATTATATACTTAGCACTCTAAAAGATTAACCATTTACAACAAATTAAAATTGCTTCAAACTTACCAGAATCCTCAGACTCAAAAAGCATACTCCAACTCAATGACAGGGAATTATTTTCAGATTCTGAAGTTCCTTCACTATCAGCTCCTGGTACTGGACAACTTGCTGATCTTGGAATTCGAGCTTTCCTACTTTCTTGAAATTCATCCACTTCTGTATTTCTATCGGAATCTTCATTTTCAACCTCATTTTCCTGCCCAGCTACATCAAACTCCATAGTATTTACATCAGTTAATTCAGCAAAGGAATTTTGCATTGACCCATAATTAATAACCTTCTCAGGACATGGAGATTTCTCACTGGCAGAGCTAGAACTGTTTTCACTGACATTTGCATGACTTGCATTATGCCAAGGTAATACTGTCAGCTCCTATAACAAATAAGAAACATTTTAGGATTTACATATTTTAAATTCCACTGATACATTTTAATTATCATACACTGGTGAAATAATATGTTAAGTACTGTCCTAAATAAAAGTTTGTCAAACTGGGATCCAAGAACTAAAACCGATATCATTCTAGGGATATATGATGATCATATGCAATTGATGTTTGGTAGGTCTTGTAATTAATTATACCTCTCTCAGTGAGTTAAGCACTTCTCAATTTTGGTCAATATGGCAACTAAAGCTAAATATATAGAATCTTAATTCGTTCTTGGAGTACTTAGTTGAAAACCATAGTACATGTGAGCACTCGTATAAGGCCTTGCAAAAATAGCTAATGATATAAAAACAGATTGTGGGCATGTATTAAGATCTTACAAGTTTCTAGTTTTTAAAAAACATATATAAATAAGTATTTTAACAGTATAACTTCAGAACACTGAAAACTGCTCCCAGAAACCAAGCTAAAATACTAAGACAGCTGGTGAGCAAGTTCCCAAAAATATACAGTCAAAAGTCGGTTATTCAGACACCCATAATCCGGAATGATCTATAATGCGTACCTCAAAGCTACAAACTTTCTGCGCATGCGTCTCAGACCTTTACGGCTGTACATATGCGTGTGCGCATAATACATTTACGCATGCACATTTAATGTATAACAGACGGTATAAGCTAAATTATCGAATTTTAATGATGCGTTGTCCTTCTTCGTTGGATTCGGCTTATTATTTTTTCAGACGGTTAGAGCAATTTTATAAAGTAAGCTGAACTTTCGATTATGTCAAATAGAATTGGATGCTGGGCTCCAAGGATTACAAAGCGAAAACATTTGTTTCGATGTTATCAAACAAAAAGTGGAATTGCGCAAAAAATCGATAAGGCATCCCTTTGTTTCTCTAACCACTGAAATCTGTTTTAATTTCACGCTCTGTGGCAGGTTGGGGGGGGGCACGCAACGGCACAATGAATTGATTGATCTGTCAGCCTATCCTTATCTTCAGGGCAGATGTTTTTATTTTTTTGGCTTATATTCCCTCTAAATGAGTAATTTCTCTCTACTCCGTCTTTGATATGATTTAAATCAAATCCTCATCGCTCCGTATTATCACTAATTGCTTCCGATATGAAGAATGTGAAGAGGGTTGAAAACGAAAATTTCGTTGACAAATTAGTCGTATTCTCGACACCATTAAGGACTGAACAGCGAACTTTGAACAAGAAATATGTCTGTTTATCAATTAAAGAGAAAGTATTATCACATAAAAAATCAACTTAAACAACTCTTGAAGAATGTTTCAAAAGTAAACAAATAATATTAAGCTTTTTTTTGTAAATTTGATACCCTTCGATCATAATTGTTTATTTATAAAAGTTCATATTTTAATTTTATAATTTCTGCATGCCATCTTACCAGATTTAAACTGATGATCTATAATCCGGAAAAATCGATAATCCTGAATCGCCGAAGTTCCGAGTCCGGATTAACGACTTTTGACTGTATCTATTTTTAAAAAGTCCCAACCCTTGTAGAATTCTCTGAAGTGATAGAAAAATGGTTAAGAACCATTCTTTTAAGCATATTTATGTAGATACTTTCAAACTCCAGTTTGTATACCTTTTAAAGACATAACATACATGGGACAACATGAATGCTTACTCATCAAACAGAACAATGTAATGTACACAGTAATAACAATATTCACTGTTGAAAAAGAATATCTCACTAATTCATTTTGAAATATTAGGAAAAACTTTCTTTAGCAGAACTGTTAATATCAATGCATATCATCCACAACAACAGGATAAATCTTGAGTTAGAATTTTTCTTTACACATGACAGCAGACTCATCACTACACAAAACAGTAATTTTTTGGGATGTAGAGCTCCCAAGGATTCTGAATTTTATTGTAAACATCAAATTACTACATAAATTTAACCCTCTGAGTGCTATGGAATCTATATACAAATTTTGAACGATCCATCACCTCAAGCTACGAAGACATGCATGACTTTTTTTTTTGGGGGGGGGACCCTTCACCTTTAGCTATGAATCCATACACGCGTTATGAAAAATCCTTCACTAACAACTTTATGCACTCCAATAAATGTTTCATTACGGTCTATAAGCCTTATGTGATCTCCATGAAATTCTTCACTATGAACTGATATATGAGTTTGTAGTTAATGATTCAATCTTTGCATGTGAATTTATTCTAGCATGTATGTAAACACAGCTAGCATGCTTAAAATCAAACAATTCATCACTGCAAGGATTAACAGGAATCTTGATGGTTTAACTTAAATGCTGATTTCATAAAAACAGATTGCATGTTGTTTGTTGCATAACTTTTTTAAATAATTAAATGAAACGACAAAACAAACACTATTTCTGTAAAGGAAATTTAACATTTATCTTTATCAACTATGCTTTTTTACAGCCAAACTGCTAAAAAAGGAAATTTCCCCTAGCAACAACACAGTTTAACATAGCACCTGCTAAACAACAACTTATAAAAATATTCACTCCAAAAAGTATATAAGCAAAATACTGGATTGAATGAAAGAATTATGACAGATTCTAGAAGTCTATACCAATTTGTTCCTGCTAGACAATAAACTTTTCACATAAAACCATATTATTTATCACTTTCGAGTTACATAAGCATTACATCCGCAAGCAAATACCTAAAAGACAGCACTTAAAATGTTGACACTACAAGTATGACAGAAAGACTAGGACAAATACTTTTGGGCCATGCTGTCTGTCTCTATAATGAAATTGATGAGCACTTAGTAGTACATCACTAATATGAAATGCTTTATCATACATAAAGTACATGTAGTCGTTCATATAGTAAGCCAAATTCTAAACAGATATGTGCACATAAAAAAAATCACTTATGTGAACTATAAACAAAAGAATTTAACCATTACTTCACTGAAATTTGCCATTTCGAGCTTTTAGAAAAAATGCATATCAATTAAAAAACTTGGCAGAAAAAATAATTATAAAAATAATTCATAAAAGTGGTCGAGATGTGAAATAAATCTTAGGACATTACATAACTTGAGGAATCTAAGCGGCATTCATTCATGCAATACTAAAATTAAGCAGATTCAAACTTCACATACTGCACATTTCAGCAATCTGCTACTGAATAATTTTTCAAAAAGAACTCAAAAGCCAATTATATTCCTTGAAAATTTCCAATTTGGAGCTATAGAACTTCAATATAAAATGTGTTAATTTGGATAAAATGCAAGACTATGGAAGTAAATCATATTTGCTTGAATAAACACACTTTTAACTTCAAATGTTCTTATTTTTAGTTATTAAATTTAAACAATTGCTAAAGAATTAAAAATTTTTACAGGTATGTAAAGCTTCTGGAAAAATTAGGCCATATGGAATTTCTTACAGCTGCTTTTCTACTAGTGGATGTTTACGAAGAAAAATGTATAGCATAAACCCAAAAAAACTAAAAGCAATTAGGTAACTAGATAAATCCCCCTTCCTTTTTCTACATTCAGGTTTTTAGCATTACAAGAGAAAAGTTTTAGAGTAACAACTAAAAATAGATATTTAAATTTACATACTAGGTCCGATTTATTTATTTCCACTTCACGTCTCTTAGCATTTGGTGGATGGGGACTATGATTCTTTTCACTGACAACCAATTCCAAAGAACCAGATAAATACGAATCGATATTTAATGGAATATTTCGTTCCTGAAAAATAAGGTCCTGATTTTATTCATTCATTATTTTTACAATACAGATTTTATATATTAAAATGTGTGTTTTGGGGGTACTATTTTCTGTTATCAGGATCAGATTTAGAAGTGTACGTATGTTATGTATGTGTATATATATATACACACGCATGTACAAATGTATGTGTGTGAATACATACATACATTTCTGAATCTGATCCCAATAGCAGAACAGAACCATTTTTTGCATGCTAAATACACAATTAAAATTTCAGTTAATTTTCATAACAATATAACCAACTAATAAAATCACAATTATAAAAAGGTAGTTATATACTATCCCATCGATTGAGAAAGTAGAACAATTTAGAGACTATTATGGATACTAATTCAGAAGTCAAACAACAAAAATCAGCGTTAATTTACAAAATTTTCACAGGACTAGTAACCATCGAAACTAGTCCTGTGAAAATTTTGTAAATTAACGCTGATTTTTGTTGTTTGACTTCTGAATTAGTATTTATTTGGCGTGTTATTGTGTCTTAACTATTATGGATGATTGTGTCCTTTAGAATTCCATTGTAACAAAGGGCAATTGGTAACTGTTGCCAAAATTTCTGAGAACAGCCGACAGGATAATACATAAGTACTTAATAAAAACCTCATGCTACAAAAATTTTCCTGTATGTAATTTGAAGAACACTGCATTTAGATCATTCCCATAAGTAAGATTTTAAAAAGTATTACAAGTATAACAATGAATTTTCCATATTTAAATATTTAATCAGATAACAGTATTAAATTACAGAATTTTTTTCCTGAAACTATCTACGCATCTTTGATCCATACAAATTATGCAAAAATTTGTTATAAATTTACAACTACATCATAAAGTTTTATAATGAATAAAATCTACACAGGGTGCATCATCAGTTCGTGCAAATGAATATTCATAAAAAGACATAATGCTCAAAAAACAGTTCTGTTTGCAGAAATTAGCAACATTGGATTTTTTCGCATTTATTTAAAAAATCATTTCCAAAGTAACCAAAACAGGGAACTTAAACATCATGCTGAGAAGCTTTGTGCAAATTAGGCAAACATACAATGAAAGAGATCACGAGAATCATATGAAAAAGATCATAATAACATGTACATTTTATTTTTAAAGTAAAAGATGTGATCAGCCTTCAATGATAGTTTTCAACACAAAAGTTTTGATTTCAAGTGCAGCGTAGGATGGAGCACCATTCTCCATGAAAATGACGACAGGCAACGCATGTCTGCAATGCAGGCACAATGTGGTCATGCAAAAGCATAACATTTTGCAGTGCCTGTTCAGGTTTTCCAGCCAAATACAGGACAATGCTCTTCAAAAAAAGAAAAGGCCCAGAATGAAAGATGCAGTGAAATCACACCAAACAGTCACGTAAGGAGAATGCATTGACTTGATCTGGTAATCACAAAGGTTTCAGGTCATTCAGATGAGACTGTTTTGCACACTGACATCACTATGCAGTGAAAAGTGAGCTTAATTTGTCCACGACATTCAGCAACCATTATGGGTTATGTTCCATTTATGGCAGCCCCCATGTAGCAAAGTTTTGTCTTCCATCTGTATCTGCGATTCGTAACTTGTGAAGAGACTGTATTTCACACGGATACAAATTCAAGATTCCGTACAGAATACATCAAATCGAAGATTTTGGAAACCCCATTTTTTCCCAGCTTCATTGAGGGTTATGTACCATTTATACCAGCCCCCCACATAGCAAAGTTTTTTCTTTCATTTCTATTTGACAGTTGTAACTCGTGAAATGCCTGTATTTCAGACAGATCCAGATTCAGAATTCCATGCTGAATACATCGAATCAAAGATTCATGAATCCCCCATTTTTCTCCCAGCTTCATGAACACTCCTACTCTGCATTTATGTATCGGCTGCAAATTTTTTATGACACTTTGTAAACATGGATGCAGTCCCCGCTGAAGAATGGTCGGTCACTTTGTGGATGATCCTCCAACTTCTCCTCTCCTCAAACCTCACAGTAAATTAATTACCACATTCAGTGAAACATGCTTTTTTTGCAGATTAAGTCCTTTCTTTGTGTGAAACTTTTGCAATGTAACAATTGTAAGAATTCTTGTTGAAATCTTGAGAAAAGTTTAACCACCAACGCTCAATCTGGTAATTAATAGCATGCTGCCAGTATCGAATGACAAATCCATTTCCAGCCATGTGTTTTATTGTTAGCCTGACTTGCATAAAACGTCTCAGTATGACATGTAAGCGCCTTTCAGTTACTTTTGGAATAATTTTTTAATACATGGGGGGAGGATTCCAATTCTGATCATATTTGCACAAATCGAGATTTTTCCTGAGCATTACTTTAATTATGAACTTTTGAAGCTTACAAAAATTTATAACACACCCTGCATGCGCATATAGTATATTAATTATAGATGAATTCTTGCTATGCTTAGATGCATAAAATTAACAAAAAATTAAGAACAGATTTTAAAAAGTGGAATTCTAACCAAAACTTTCTTAGGATATAAAACATCTAATTCTGTATTGCTGGTCTTAAGAGCATCAATCATTTCCTCATGGCTACTGCATCGACGTAATAACTCAATTTTTTCCAATGATACCAATGAACCAGGTGATGGTCTTTCTTCTGAACTTGATCGTTGTAGAGAATCTTCCCCAGAAGGTCGTCTTTCTTTGCGTTTCCTAGTGACTAAAGCACCAGTAGATGATTAGATGTAATTAAATATTAAACTAGCTCACATTAAATTATAAAGATATAACAGAGGAAACTGAAAAAAAGTAATAACATACCAACTGCTTCTTTGCTAGCTGAAGGATTACTAACAGAATATTTCTCATCATTAGTTTTATCCATTACTTCAACTTGACTGAAATAAAATATACAAATTAAGTGTAAGTGCAAGAACAATTTTTAGCACTGCTTCTTCTATTTAAAACAAATTAACTAATTACTAATAAAAAATCTAATTTATCTGGAATAAAAAATTAAATACTACACAAGTTGTAAATATAAGCAATTCTGCAATTTATACAATGATTTAAAAAAATAAAGGCATTAACTATTGGGTTGGCAACTTAGTAATTGAAGATTTTAAATAAGAAAGAAATTCAAAATTCTTATACAAAAATATAACTACAATACAAAGTTCGAAATCCGGATGTCCATTATCCAGAATGATCAAAAATCCAGACCTTATAGGCTTTTTTTTTTTTTTTTTTTTTTTTTTTTGGTGTGTGTGTGCCTGCTTTACAAATGCGCATTTGATTTTTCCTTCCATAATAAAACATGTGGAGATTTTCACTTAAAAATTGCGATTCTTAATTTCACTTAGGCACTAAATAAAATACCTCGCTATGGAAAAAAAAAAATCATGTAAGCATAAATTTGTGAAATTAATAATTTGTCTCCGTAGCAGAGTATCTGCTTAGCATACATCTCAAACCGAAACATTCACCTATTTTATATCCCTGATGCCGACCTGGCGAGTCATTATTTATTATATTTTGCTTTTATCACTGCATGTATATTAATACATGACAGCTTCAGCAATACCTCATGCAATGATGTCTAAACTTTACATTAGTAATTGAATAACAAGAGTTTGGCAACCTTTTATGCTAACATTACACTTGGCAATGATTATAGATTTTTAAATGCTCTAAGAAATGTTGACGAGGAAAAATTCAACATAAATTTCTTCTCATATGCTAAAAATAGATTTTGTTAATGAAACTCATAGGCCAAAATATTACATTTAGAGCTATTTTAATTAAGAATAACTGATATGTTATTCACCATAAACCCAGAAACGGTGACAAAATAAAATATGTCGGCACCAGACCGCAGAATGACAGGCACCGGATGGAAAGATGAACATTTTGGAATTTGGAGAAGCACCGAGCAGCACAATTAAGGGCTGAAACGTTTTTAAGACATAGGGAAAGCACTGAGATGCAAAGTTTAGGTGCGGTGAAACTGACAATTAGAAAGGCGCTTGTAGCCGATTAGAACGTAATACTGATTAGGGTATTTAGGCTGCGCTAATAAGCATAGAGGGTGGGTTTATTTATTAGGACTCAGATAGTTTTAGATGTGCAAGAAATATAAGTATATAAATAACTAAATAATGCAATAGGCTTAATTCAGTACGCAATAGAGCAGACAAAATTTAGCGAACACTTGGCTTTCGCCAATTTAGTGATGACGCCATAATGTATAACGGACGCTTAACTAGCGAAATACTTTACTGATTTAAGGCATTTCTGTTAATGACATGCTCTCCTAATCTTCTAGTTTGATCAGCTTACTATTATTGCAGACTGTTATTACGCAATTATAAAATCGTTGGCTTCGATGATGTCGAAAAGAGTTCAATTCTGGAGCTGCCAAAGGATCTACAAGCGACCAGTTTTGTTCCAGTAAACAAAGTGAATTGCTAAAAAATGGTTAAACATATTGTCTCAATTTGCGAGGAGTATGGCATGAACTACTGTATAGATATAAAATGAACTTTTTGAATTTTTGTGGAACAAACACTAATTGAAAGAACGTTTTAAAGTAAGATAAGTATTAGCTTTTTTTTTTTTTTTTTTTTGTTTTGTAATTTGCTACTCTTTAGATATGATGTCGTTTTCAAATTACGATTCACTGTTTATTGTTAATTTGCATGTCATCTTACCAGATTTAAATTGATGATCTAATATTCGGAAAAATTCCAAATCCGGAATCGCCAAAGTCCCGACAAGTCCGGATTTCAGACTTTGTACTGAATTAAATAAGGTATTGTGCATTTTAGGCAATGACATTTTGCTATCTTTCAGGCAGTGTTTATAATTCCATGTTCATAAAACTTTTGATTTTTTTACATCATCAGTCCATTAAAAATTTTACCATTTAAGAAGTTCTGCATGAAAAAAAAAAAAAATGGAAATTTGAAGGTGCAAGCTCAGGCTTTTATGGTGGATGTGACACTATATCCCAATCTAGCTGCAGTAACTTTTGGCAAGTGACCAAAGATATATGGGGCTTTGCATTATCATGCTGAAAAACAATAACCCTTGATTTGGCTATTCTGGCCATTTTTCTTGAACTGCATCACTCAGTTTGGCCAGCTGTTGAACAAAAGCATTTTTTAATTAACCGTTTGGTTTCTTGGTAGAAGTTCAAAGTGCAGAATTCAACCAAACAGTATAAACTTTTTTGGTAAATCTCAGTTTTTGATGTTTTAGGCTGGTTCATCCTGCTTCAACCAGATCTTTTTCTACTAACACTGTTATAAACTATCTTTCAATGCCAGTAATCAATGGTTCTAGAAGTGAACTGCAGATGCTAATACATTATGGAAAATTAATTTTTTAAAAATGATCAGAAACCCATAAATCGAGTTTGTCAACACAGCTAACTGTTTTATTTTTTTTCTTTTTCAATGCATGTATGCAATACAGTAGTGAGCTTCTCTGCAATCTCATAAGTTGACGATCTGAATTGATACTGACCTTGATATGGCTCTCATAAGCTAACTGGATGGCAAGATCATTGAGCTTTTTTTTTAAAGCAAAGTCACCAAAATTAAATTTAACAAATCAATTTTTACGCATTCTTTCTTTCAAGGCACTATATGTAGGCACATAACTTTTTATCTACTTGTGAAGTAATCTTGACTTTTTGGAAATGCAATAAAATATGTCTAAAATGTGCATTTTGTTCTTCCATTTTTAAATTGAGATAAAAATTAAACTAAATAATTAGTAAGAAAATTGTAACAATTTATTCAATGTGGAAGTCCAAACAACAAGAAAATAATAGAAGTTTTGTGCTATAACATGCTAACAAAACAAAAGAATATGCTAAAACCACCTATCAACAAAATCTGCAAACATTAAGTTGCCAACTCAAAAAGATTTTTTTTTTAAAAAAAAGAAGCCATACTTTCTTCATGAACTTCCCGATTTCCTGTTACTGACAAGCTCAATGCAGGGAACCAAACTGAATTCACCTATCATCTGTTTAATAAAATTAAATTTCAAAATTTCTATTTTTCGACATGATTATAGATGGTTGATGTTTCGTTAAGATGGACAAGCATTTAATATCTTTGTTTTAAAATATTACCTGATATTAATGAGCACGTAGAGCAAACATACAAAAGCTTTGTTTCCCGATCTTATGCTGCATTTACTCTGGTCAGAATTTCATGTTAATCTAACAGACAAAGCATACGATACCAGAGTAAATTAACTGTAAAAAGGATATCTGAAACTGTATTTAATGATGCTATTAAAATTCTCATATATGCATAAAAACGTTACTGAGTCTGAATTTATATGGAGACTTACATTATCATAAATATTTAGCATTTGTTATCAGCATAAATATTTAAAGAAATTTTTAGCATTTGTTATCAGCAAAGTTGCTAAATGTATAGCACTTGAAATCACAATAGCTCCATTACCAGAAATTGCAATTCAGAATGGTAGCAATCTCTATAATCACCTTTCTTTTTAAAAATACTCTTAATACATCATTTTTCAGGAGTAATGAAAAAAAATAAGTTCATACTTAAAAATATTTTTCACAGTAGTCTGGTTTTAATGCTCAAAGTATAAAATGTAATAAAAATTATGACAAACATCTCTTTTTAACTGAAAGAAAACCTAATTAAATAGTCACATACATAAAAAATATAAAAAATAAAAAAAAAAAAATCTTACATCACACAAATACTGTCATCTGTTACTAACATGGTTAACACTCAGCTAAATTTGATTTATTTTCGGTTAAGTGGAACATTATACAAAAAATGCATCTCTGCATAAACAAAATCATAGAATAAAGTCAAAAATTATTACTGAAGAAATGCAAGCCCTATAAGGGAACCCAAAAGCAATTTCTTTCTGCAAGAACACAAAAGATCAATGTTACTACAAGAATGAAGGACATATTAAGGAACTGGGAAGGGTCCAAGGCTACAGTCAAGCAGTAGCATACATGAAGCAAAGATGAACAGCATTGATTAAACAGATCTGTTTAATGACCTAACAAAAAATAACAGACATGTTTAACAATGAATACAGCTTCAGGACTATCCTGAAAGACAGGAGTATGCTAATCTCTGTACAATATGTGAAATCTAGACCTAGCAAAGAAAACCATGGATTGATATGCAAAAGAGTAAAAAAGAACAAAGCCTCTGATAGAAGAGTGCAACTCAAATTGTCATAAGATTGCAAGAGAGACTGAAAATTATAATACTTTTGCATACCTAGAGCATTTCCAATTTTGGTGGTTATTTTTAATATTTTGAAAAGCTTATGCAAAAGAGTAAAAAAGAACAAAGCCTCTGATAGAAGAATGAAACTCAAATTGTCATAAGATTGCAAGAGAGACTGAAAATTATACGAAGCGTATTCGGAAACTAAGTACCATTTCAATCTAGCGCCGTCGCAGCGCTGTGGTAGGCGTCCCGCACATACGCACTAGTCTTTCTTGTTCACTGACTTTCAATTGTCGCCATTTGTTGCTCTTGTTGGTTTTCAGTTGCTGTGCACTTCAAAAGTTTTACGACATTAGTTCCGCGCTTGGATCGTGCAGCGATTATTTTTGAACGCGAGAAGTTCAACGGCCGAATTTCGTCAAGTGACAGAGTTTACGGTGAAACGCGATGTGAGGAATGTGAGAAAGGGGTAAGAATGTTTATGCGGTCTACAATGTCCCGCTGAGGCTCGGAAGGCGGCCTTCGTTGCCCGTGATTGTAAGGCAGTTGATGAAGCAATCTGAGAACAGACGCTCACATGACAACTTTCAAGCATTTCCACAAATTTCACTACTGTTTGTCGAATTGTTGCCGCTTGAAATTACGCAAACTATGTTCCGATGGTCTAAAATGCACTGATGTACAAAACAAAGCGCTTGGTAGTGAGTGCCCGGACTTTTCTCACACGGTACAGTTGGGGAAAAACTTTTTAACCAATGGACAGGTATGAAACTTGGGTGTTCATTTCACACCGAATCGAAAAAACCGATGAGTGGAGAACACTCATTCTCGAAAAAAAAAAGTTCAATGACAATGTCTCACAAAACATGCACGTCTTCGGTATAGGAAAGGGTTTTGCTAGATTTTCCAAGGTGAACCATTAGTGGCACGATATGTGAGATGAACAACTAGACTGCCATTCAAACACAGAAGAGTAATGCTTAGAGGGATGTGTGCTCCATACAATCTCGGCCCATACGGCTGTGTCATCTCGTAATCGACAGTTTATTGGGAGCAAGTTCGATCAGCCGCGTATAGCCCGACTGGCGCCGTCCCTATCCTTGTCCTGCACATGAAGCGAAGCTTGGTCCAGCGCTTTGATCGGACGTTGAAACAAAAATTCTGTGGAGTCGTGGTATCGAAACTGGCAGAAGTTTCTTTGACGAGGTACAAAACTGGTCACTAGATGCAAGTTTGATCATGGTAGAAACTAGTTGAAAAAAATTTAAGACAGATTTTAGTAAAAATAAATTGCTTCGAGAAATGTTTCTTTATATTTATTTATTTTTTTTTTTCCAAAACGGTACTTAGTTTCCGAATACGCCTTGTAATACTTTTGCATACCTAGAGCATTTCCCAATTTTGGTGGTTAATTTTAATATTTTGAAGAGCTTAACCACATACTAAATGCATAGCTGCCAGCCTTGAAATACAAAAACTCGAAAAGACTCTCACATGAAATCCCACAGTTTCTTAAAGGTTTTGATCTTGCATGGCGATGCCATTTCAAAACTCCAAATTGATTTACATTCACTTTATAATTCATGATCCAAGTATCTGCACTACTTTTAATTCTAATTAAAAATATGTTAACATTTAATTAGATATTCAAAACTTTCTGTTCTTTAGCTATTTCATTTTATAACTTTCTTGAGTAGGAAAGTTTTTCACTTATCAAAATACTTAATACAATGAAAATAAATGTACATATTATTATGTAGACAACTTAGAACTGCACCATACTCTAATGTAAAGCAAAATATAAATATTGTTTAACTGGTTAAGTATTGGTTAACCTGATTATAAAAAGTTTTACAAATATCAAGACAATTCAGATCACATAAAATTTAATAAGGGATGCTGAAAATAACTAGGTACAGGAAAATGAATTTACCACAATTTAAGTTTCATTAATTCAATCAAATTCACTTATTGCTGAGAAACGCATTAAGCAACGCTAAAAAATAAAATCCAGAAGGTTTAATAATCTACAGGCAGACCAAGAGATGCAACAAATCAGGAGAGTTTGTGTGAATGCCTCCCCAAAACAGACTATGTTCACTATGCAAGACCACTATAATAATATTTAACAGAGAATTTCAGAATTTTTTAGATATTTAAACCCATTTTCAAAATGTTTCTAGTGCGATGCAGTAATAAACTATGTTCACTGTGCAAGACATCATTATAATAATATTTAACAGAGAATTTCAGAATTTTTTAGATATTTAAACCCATTTTCAAAATGTTTCCATAGCTGCAGATGCAGTAATAAACAACTATTTCAGATACATACAAAAAACATTACAGAAACACAAACCTCTCAATAAGAAGCACAGGTACATTATCTTTGACTCTGTTATCATCATCTGCAATTGGAAGATCCGATTCCATAGATGGTATGACAACACTTAAAGGGCAAAGTGACATCACAGGCATTACTGAAGATGGACAAGGAAGCTAAAAAAAATTCATTCACATGATATTACTTTTTATATTTATATAATTTACTCTTTAACATTTAAAGAGAAATTAAACTTAATTAAAAGTTTTATAATTAGATGTTAAATTATTATAATTGATAGGATAGCTAATTATAACAAAGCTCCCAAGGACTCTCAAGACTAAAAAGCAGGCAGAGAACAGAATTTTCATTACCTAAGAAAACTGCTTCCACCTGTAGAGAATCCCAAAATACTGGGTTGTTGCTAATGTCAGAAATGAGCTCCTAATGCAACCCAAAAGGGAACAAATTTCCATGGCTTTAGCCTTTAGCTTAATGATTACAGTATTTTCCAGTGGATGATAGGATTCTGATTTTTTTTTTAATATAATTTTACATACCAAGGAAAAGCTGACATATTTTAAACATCTCTATGAGACCAGAGTGTAGCTTTAATACAGATGGGAAACAAAATAAATAATACAAATAATTTAAAACTGTTGAAAATACTAAACCAGGCATTAATTTTTTTTTAATTAATGGCAAATAAATGAGAAAAAGATTTCATATAAAAAACTAGGCCAAAGCCACAGAACAGTTACAGTGCAAATTATATCAGGACTGAGGCTTAAAAAAGCTTAATGTCAAATAAACACAAAAAATCCAACAGAAATGCTTTCTTATTTACAGTTATTGATTATAATAAAAAT